TTTTTTATCATAGGAATGGGTTGGAGTTAACTTTGAAGTGCTTCTTTGAATCTTCATAACTTAGTTGTCCCATTAAACCAAGATTTTTGGGATCTTCAGTCAGCAAGGTTGGGTTATCATTACAAAGATTCTTGCGTAGTAGACTTTAAGCCCATTCCCCTAATAGACAGTATACTTGATCTTTTGGTAAGCCTTTGGTAAGCGGATGCGCGAGATTTCTCTAAACTTTACATAACTATGGAAATTACACCATTTGAGATCAATTGCTTAATTGTATTATGTCTTCGACGAGTATTTCGAGACTTACCATCATACATATTACTTTATGAGATCAACATGTTCTACCGATAGCCGACTGACTATCACAGTATATACTATTTGCATACACAGGTATAGGCCAACAAGTAATATCCTCTAAAAAATTTCGAAGCAACTTTATCCAAAGCTATAAACTCAGATTTCATCATGGATCGAGCTATACATGTTTGTTTAGAGGAACTATTCTGCTTCTTCTCCAGTTTTATCCAAAGCTATAAACTTTGATTCCATAGCTGAGCGAGCTATACATGTTTGTTTAGAGGATTTCCAAGATACGGTCGCACCACCAATGGTAAAAACATACCTAATAGTGGATTTTGAGTCTTTTGTATTTGATATCGAATTAGCATCATTGTATCCTTCTGAAACAGCTGGATATCTAGTATAATGTACGCCAATATTTGAGGTATATCTAACCCTTACCAGTGCCTTCAATAATCATTATTTAGGTTACTTGTATATCTACTAAGTTTGTTCACTGCATATGCAATATTCGGATGAGTGCAGTTTGTAATATACATTAGACTGCCTATTATACGAGAGTAATCTAATTGAGATACGAGTTCGCCTTTATGTTTGTCCAAATGTAGACTTAAGTCTACTGATGTTTTAACTCAATTTTCATCAAATATATGAAACTTCTTAAATACGGTCTCAATATAGTGAGATTGAGGAGACAAGTCTCTCAAATGTTTTAAGGATTTTAATTTCTAATATTATATCTGTAATACCTATATCTTTCATGTTAAAATATTTTGTCAACATTTTATTGGTACTTGCTATGATATCATAATTAATATCCATAATTAACATATCATCAACATATAAACATACGATTACATATGCATTAGGTGTAGTTTTAATATAAATACATTTATCACACTTGTTAATTTTAAAATCATTTGATAGCAAAGTTTTGTCAATTTTTGCATGTCATTGTTTTGGCGCTTGTTTTAGTCCATATAACGACGTAACGAGTCTACACACATTTTTCTCCTGTCCGTGAGTAATGAACCCTTCGAGTTGTTCCATGTAAATTTCTTTATCTAGCTCACCATTTAAGAAAACTATTTTGACATTCATCTGATGGATTTCTAAATTATGCAATACTGCGATTGCAATTAATACTCTAATTGATGTTATCCNCCTTGTCATAGGTGAGTATGTAGCGAAAAAATCAAGGCCTGCTTTTTGTTTGAATCCTTTATCTACCTATCTGGCCTTATATTTATCAACTGATCCATCAGTTTTTAATTTTCTTTTGAAAATCAATTTACAACCTAACGATTTGTTACCAGGTGGGAGATCTACCAACTCCCAGGTATGATTCTACATAATAGAATCAATTTCACTATTGATAGCCTTCTTTCCAGAATGGAGCTTCTGGACTAGACATTGCTTCATGAATGTCCTAAGTTCATTTTCTAAAAAATAAGTTAAAAAATTTGGACCAATACATGTTTTGGTCCTTTTGCTTCATCTTAGTTCTTCATCACTTTGGTGATTACCAATTGTAGAATCATAAGTTCCTTTTTGCGAACTTATCTCTTTCATATCCTTACAAGGAAACTTGTCCTAAAAAATATAGCATTCCTAGATTCAATGATAGTATTTTCATGTACATTCGGAATATCAAACTTATGTACAAGGAGCCGATAAGCACTACTATTATTAGCATATCCAATGAATATGTAATCGATGGTCTTAGGCTCTATTTAACTTGTTTAGCCTTTGATATTTCTACCTAGCCAAACACCTCCACCCTTTTAAGTATTCGTACGAAAGTTTATGACATTTTCATAACTCATAAGGAGTTTTATTCCTACTTTTGTGTGGTAATTTATCTAGAATGTGATTAGTTGAGAGAATTGCTTCCCTCCCCAACACAAATTTTGAGATAAACCAGAACTAATTAACATAGCGTTTATCATTTATTTTATAGTACGATTTTTGTGTTCCGCGATACCGTTCGATTGAGGTGAATAAGGAGCTGTAGTTTGATGAATAATCCCAGAATCTGAACAAAATTTCAAACGTCGCATCATATTCCCCACCTTTGTCACTACGAATAACTTTTATTCGTTTGCTTAGTTGATTCTCAACCTCATTCTTGTACTATTTAAATGCTTCTAAGGCCTCATCTTTACTTCTTAGCAAATATACATAATATTACATTGTGCAATTATATATAAAAGTAATAAAATACTTTTTACCTTCTTTAGTTTGCATAAACTTTAAATCACAAATATTACTATGAATTAGTTCTAGACGATTCAAGTTCCTTTCGACTGAATGATACGGTGTTTTAGCTAATTTAGTTTCTACACATGTTTCACATCGATGATTTTGATCAAAGGAAATAGAAGGCGATAAATCTAAACTTATTAATTTACGTAAAGTATTAGCATTTACATGTCCTAACCTATCATGTCATAAGTTAGAAGACTCAATCAAGTAAACAGAAGATTTATTTTTATTAATATCAAAATCACGAAGTACATGCATTACATTTATTTTGATTAGCCCATTGGCTAAGTACCATTTGCCTATAAACATGCCATTTTTTGTCAGTACAAACTTGTCAGATTCAAATACTAGTCTAAACCTACAAACTTGTCATTATCTTTCTCAATTCTATCATACAATCAGATTTTCAAGTCTCATTTCCTTGCGTTTATGTTTTAGGTAATTCTTGAAATCTTTCCACATTGGTGGTAATTTTTCGATAATCACAGCGACCTGAAACGACTCACGGAACTTCATACCTTTGGCATGTATATCGTACAAGATGATTTGTAGCTCTTGGACTCGATTCATTACTGTTTTTTAGAATACAATTTTGAAGTCTAGAAATTTGCCTACAACGAATTTCTTCAATCCGACATCTTCCATTTTGTACTTCTTTTTCAATAATTCTCACAGTAATTTAGCTTTCTTGATCAAATAATATACGCCGTATAGTGTGTTGTCAAGGCAATAGCGGTTCCAATGACTCTCACAGTAATTTAAGTGTCTTGAATGCACTTTATAGGTTGTATAGTATGTTGTCAAGGTAATTGAGGATGGAGTTCCTGCACAAGAAGTCACTATGACTCCATACATCGAATGTTGCTCGTTTTTGAGAATCTATTTCATCCTCCTCAACATTTGGAGCATCTTCACTCAAGAATTTGACAAATTCAGAGTCGTAAGATACAACAACTTTTTTGTTACCATCTCTTAAAATTCACTGAATTTTTTCGATTTCTCTATGTGAGCATTATTAATAAGAACGACAGATGCAGTATTACTTGTCATTATCGTCTTAAGATTGTTGAAGATTGTTGGCAAATAATTATATCACCGTGAATTGATTTGGGCAGAATAATATTGTGCAAAATGAATGCTAATGGTTGGGACAAGAGTTCAACTCTTTCTCCTTAAGTCGATAATGCCCGCACTAGTGCTGACGGTATTCTAGCATTCATCTCTCAAGATACAATGACCTCGACTTGTAATAGTAGCACTACAAATTACAAGACACGACCCTGACCTGTGTCGTGCCGTGCCGTGCCGTACCTGTTGAGCCGAGCTGACCGACCGGTTGGGCGGACGGCGATGGTGGCGCGCTCGAGGGCTTTGGCCCAACCTACTTGCATGTAGGTTTTATCCCTTTCAAAGACTATTGGTAGCCCTTGGGGTCTAAACTCAAGTCCCAAATTTAAGCAATATAAAGTGGTTTATATTCTTCTAGCTTTCTTATGTGGAATTGACACTTTTCCAATTTCTCACCAATTTTTATTCTAATTTATTTCAACTTCAAATGGTAATCTTTTGGCCTTAATTTCTTATTCACCCTAAATTGGTTTTGAGAAAATAAATACATAATATTAATCTACTCATGGAGTAGAACACACTCGGCTAAAGAAATATTTTGTTCAACTAACGAGACCCACTAAAATAATTGGTCGAAAATTGGTCAAACCAACTAATAAAACCAATTTTTCCAACAAAAAGGTGTGTCCAAATTTTCAAAGATGTGATGGGCTACAGTAATGAGTAAGGCTTTGAAAGCTAGTGTAGAAGCATGGCCAAGGCAATGCTTTGCAAGCATGTGATGAGCGAAGCATTTGGAAGTAATTTAGGTAACTTCTCGAATGCAGCTCCTAAAGTTATCTATGATAAAGTAAATACTTCATTTATTATAAGGCATACACACAGCTATATTGCCGATCATGGTAAGACTAGAGGCATCACATATTTTTATGGTTCTCTTTAATTAGTATGCTCTGTTTTTTCAAGTAGAATCTTATAATGAATGTGACAAACACCCCCTAACCAGCAATTTTGGGGCTTAAAAACGAAGAGCAAATAAAATAAAGCATGTTAGGGAGGAGAGGGACGGGGATAGGAAGAAAAGCAAGAATGAAAATTGCAATTTCTCGTTCTATCTTTTCTCTAAACATATCCACGTCAACATGAACACTTATGACAAATACCATGATGAGCACACAATATAAGACAATTATTGTGCTTGTCTTATCATATTCAGTTCGACAAATCATACATTTTTTAAATCATATTAAGCCCTTCTAAATTTCAACGGTGTACTTACAGATTTAGTACGTAAGGCCAGTAGCTGATTCATCAGCAAGAATCAATCAAGATCAACAAAAGGAGATGGCTCTTGATTATAAGTACGATCAGTAAAACCAGTGTACCAAACGACCCTCGTGAGCTGCATTCCAAGAACAAGCACCCATCCACATGCCAAGCCCTTTAATAGTAAGCACCGTCCATAACGGTGTACCAAGCTCAACACCAAGCTTTAGCCCCCTCGTTAGTTGCAACAGACGGGATGCTTCATAGACAACTGGAGTTACTAACCATACTGATGACTGGCAGTGCCATGTTACCATCTCAGTATATGTACTGTGAGAAGCAGAAGATGAGGACCTAATAGAACTGTGAATGAAATGAAAGGTAACTGAGGCTGAATAAAAGCCCTTTGAGAACCCAAGAGCATTGTCAAAGGAATAATACATCCAAGTTTACTTGCAACCATGTTCCAAAACTGATAATGGGAAAGAAGCTTGCTGCTACACCCTAGAGTTCAGTTTTTTCGGGCAAGCACAAGAATCAGCCATGAAGAGAAAGAGAGACTCCGAGATAAAAAAAAAAAAAAAATGCTATCAAGTCCAACTAGAGAAAGAAGGCTGGCCATACTCGGACCAACTAGAGAAAGAAGGCTGGCTATACTCGGACCAATGAAAAATTGATGAAACCACAAGGTGGGCACCACTCCTATGGCTAAGACAAGGGTAGGGCCGAGAACCCATGAAGACCATTTAAGGTACTGGAGCTGCAAAGGTGGCTGATTGCTTGGAATGGTGAGCTATTGACCATTAAAGCTTCAGCTGTCTCGCTAGAACTTAAAAAATTTCAAAGATATTGGTCGTCCCTTTCAGCGATTTTCCTTCACTACGAGGAGAATATGTTACTGGAGCAGATTCCCAAGGAGAATTATTTGCGCAGCTAAGAGTGTAGTGCTTACAACTTGTATGCAATCAAGTGCTTGTATTAAGTAGATTCTGAGATTCCATAACTTCATGCGCTTGCGATGCACGTGACAAACAGTACTTGCAGAAATACTAGATTGAGTCTTGGTTNAAAAAAAAAAATTTAAAATAAAAAAAAAAAAAAAAAGGCGGAAGCAAGAACAATCACATTGTAAAAAAAAAATTCCTTTTTGATCAAACAATACACGTATTAATTTAATCAACATGTCATTAAGGAAGAGATGAAAATAATACCGACGATCGCTTATGATATAAATCTTGAACTCCTCCTTTAAATCGCCAACCTCCCAAGAGCTCCACAATTCTTTCTCTATGTATCTCCGATTACAAAGAATGAACAAGTGGACGTTTCAGAATGGAGTTTGATTCACACACTCTTTTTATGGTCCATTTTATGTTCTCAACACATAAGACAAAAGTGAGAAGAAGAGACAGAACTCTCAGAAAAGTATTTCACGTAAATTTCCGTGTTCTTGTGTTCTTTTCTAAGTATCTAATGAGTCATATTTATAGTTGAAAAATATAGCTTTATTTTAATTTTTCAATTAACATTTTAATTTAAAAAATCAAAATCACACCTATCACTAGGATGAGGTGATGCCACTTTATTGGGAGAGAATTTCTCTTCCATATCCTCTTATCGGATAATAATTCAAAATCAATTTAAATAATTAGCCTTTAATTATTTATCATTATCCACATGTGATTGAATTTAAATGGGCACTCGGTGTTGTAAATAAGAATGTGATCATTATCACACTGTACAACTAACTTTTAATTATTTATCATTGTCAAATTATGATTGAATTTAAATAGACACTCCATATTACAGATAGTAATGTGATCATTATCACACTATATAAATTTCAAATTAATTTAAATAATCATATCATTTAAAATAAAATTAATCCAACTAATTAATGTGTGAAAATCAATTCAGAATTCATAACTAAAAAAATGTTCATGTAATTTTAACGGAGGAGACGAGAGGAACTATGGACATTATAATTTTAAACTCCAATAATAATGACAATTAATTAACACTTTAATTAATATGTCAAAATCATTGATCTCAAATTATTCCACTAAAAATTTGGAATTGCATTCTTAAAATTATAAAACAACTTGTATTCAAAAGATTTGAACTCTCCATTGATATAGTCATTTCATATAAGGGAAAAATTCACTTTCCCTACTTTATCTTTACCCTATTTCAAAAATAACAAAACAACTTTTACATTTCAAAAATCA